CAAAACAGGGAAGCCACAGGACGGCCGGCAGGGGAGGGCAGTTGGGTGGGACCAAGCCTGCAGGGGAGGGAGGGCAGTTAGGGGTGACCAGGCTGGCAAGGGAGGGCAGTTAAGGGTGACTGGGCCAGCAGGGTAGGGCAGTTAGGAGAGACAAGGCCTTCTGGGGAGGACAGTTAGGGGCAATTGGGCTCGCAGGGGAGCAGTTAGGCATCGATCAGGCTGGCAGGGGAGTTGTTAGGGGCAATCAGGCAGGCAGGTGATGGGTTGGGAGCCAGCAGTCCTGGATTGTGAGAGGGATGTCTGACTGCCCAGTGGGATCAGGCCTAAACGGGCAGTCGGACATCCCTCGAGGGGTCCCAGGTTGGAGAGGGTGCAGGCTGGGCTGAGGGACACACCCCCCATGCATGAATTTTGTGCACCGGGCCTCTAGTAGATAATATATGCAAATCCAATATCAAGCCAGCTCAGAATTTTTTTGAAGATTTAGTTGGAATACTTTTGATTAAACCTGGTATATATTTCATTATGGAATGTTTTAAAGATATCCTATATAAGGTGGCTGCCTATGACCAGGCCAGCAGTGGGGTTAGTGAGGGACGACCAAACAACTGAACAAGCAGGCTGCATGGGGTGACCAAGCAGGCACAGGGGTTGTGATGGGTGACCAGGCTGGCAGGGGGGGCAGTTGGGTGTGACCAGGCCAGCAGGGGGGTGCAATAAGAGGCAACCAGGCCGGCAGGGAGCAAAGCAATTAGGGGCAACCAGGCCAGCAAAGGGGGACTGTTGGGGGTGACAGGCCAGCAGGGGGGCAGTTGGGGGTAACCTAGCATGCAAGCAGGTGAGCAATTAGGAGCCAGTGGTTCAGTATTGTGAGAGGGATATCCGACTGCCGGTTTAAGCCCAATCCCCGGGATCAGGCCTAAACCAGCAGTCAGACATCCCCCGAGGGGTTCCAGATTGGAGAGGGTGCAGGCTGGGCTGAGGGGACCCCTGCTTCATGCATGAATTTTGTGCACCGGGTCTCTAGTATTTCATAAAAAACTAAAGAATCTTTATGGGCTCTATTCATCAGAAATGTTATATCATCTTTCCCTGCTAAAGATATATATGTGCATTACTTTTATTTTTACTTTTCCTATTTAATCCATAATAAATTCACCACTTTCCATATATGTCAATGTAATATTTTGCTTGCAATGAGCCACCATCTATAATTCCTATATTTTCCTTTACTAAAATTAGATCCTCACTCACAGAGAATGTTACACTTTATGAAATTATGCAAGTCTAGTAAATCTCATCTTCCTACTAAATGTCCTGAAACAGCTTTGAGATTTACATTCTGATGTCAAATGTTTCTTTAACTCCTCCTTAGCATCAGATGGGTAGGCTGTTATTTAGAAGCATACATCAAATAGAGGTAGAGACTAATTAAACCAAAAATTTATTTTTTATGTTTCTTTATTGACTGATCTATAAAATTTATTTAATATGCTTGCTACACATTATTCTGGTCCCTAAAATACCATACATCCTAATTTTGGGGGGGACTGCTGTTTAGCACTTTTGTCAAATATATTGAGGTAAAGAGTAATAAAATCAGTATTTAATCTTTGGCTGGTGACCTGTCAGAACTATTTGCCTTCAGGAAAGTGTGATTGAAACAAAACTAACAATCAACTAAAAGCCCTAAACTTCAAGTTCCTTAGTGTGAAGTAAAAATTTGAGATAAAAGTAATTAACTCATTTTGAAAGTAGCAGTGGATATGACCTCTGTATTTGGTCTTGATGGTAAGGTTTCTCTATGGTAGGACCACTTGTGAAACCAATAATTGGACACAGATTTATTATGCCTTAGAGCTTTATAATTTGAGATCTCAAGACATAAAATTTTGATATGACTGAAACATGGTCACAATTAAGGCCTTTAAGCCATCTTAGTTCAAAAGTGGATACAAATAAACATCTCATAAAACTGAGGTGAGAATGTTACAGAAACCCAAACTATGCTAACACCTTACCTTTAAAATGTCAGTATGTCTGTTATGAATGCACAAGTAGCTTTAGTGCAGCATACTATCTAATGGAGCCATCTTTTAAGGACTCTAATTAGAAGTTACAAAAAGCCAGTAACTCTGCTTATGAGGCTCCAGAGGCTCATTTATAGTTAATCTGTACAAACAAAAGCCAACCAAAAAGTTGGCTACCATCTTAAATAAATTTTACACATTATTATCTTAGTTGGGTGGATGACATGCATTCAAAATGCATACCTTTAAATTTTAAAAAAGATGATGATGATAAAAATTAATGATATTGTAGCTTGTAACTTAAATAATCTATACTAATAATAGAGGAATGTGCAAATTGTCCAGGACACCATCACAGTAACAGTAATGACCAAACAGCAGGCTGTGTAGGACAACAAGGCTGGCAGGGGGAGCAGTTGAAGGCGACCAGGCCAGGCAGGCAGGTGAGCAGTTAGGAGCCAGCGGTCCCTGATTGTGAGACTAAACCAGCAGTTGGACATCTCCCGAGGGGTCCCGGGTTAGAGAAGGTGCAGGCTGGGCTGAGGGAACCCCCCCCATCCCGTGCACAAATTCTGTGCACTGGGCCTCTAGTGATCATATAATGTTTGTTGCATAGAGGTCATCTGGCTGGCTGAGATTTATTTTTACTTTTAAGTATGCTGAGCTATTTTTCTATTTTCCTCTCTAGATTAATGTTATAAAATGCATGAAAAATATTTTGCCTTTTATTTTAATTCTTTTCTAATTGAGAAAGGATTCAACAATGCAATTTGAGATATTATGAACTGCATGAAATTAAATATATTTATTGTCTTCTGTTGCTATGTAGTCAATATTTTCAAGAAGTATAAAAGAAGGTAAATAGCTTTAGTGGTGCAGTTCAAAATTAGAGATTTCTAGATAGAATTTCCCACTTAGTGAGTCTATATTTCACTGGAACAAATCCAAGTGCCTGGACTTCAGAGTACAACATCTGGCCATAAGAAGATACTACTAGATAATGTACAATGAATATTTCCTGCATCTTCTGTATGAACATATTACTGTATCTGATACCTCAGTACCTAGCAAAAACAAGCAAAACAAAAACAAACAAAATAAACTGTTTTATTCAGGTTGTTGATATATAAGCATCATTATGTTCCACTTCTTATACTTTCAGCTACTAAAATTATAACCAAAGTTGTAGAACCAAAAATTAAAGTGATTGAAGGCAGTCTTCAGCCTATTATCAAAACTGAAGGTAAAAATCAATGTTATACATGTTTGCTTTTACTGTGAGAAAAGCCCATATAATAGACTGATTTCTATGAATGTATCTACATTCTTTTTTAAACTAACATGCTAAATATTTCTATACAAATGGCATGCTTATGTTATTGAAGAATAGGGAATGTAAATTATTTCACAGAGTGGATTGTGCAGTTCTAATACTTTCAGTACATTTGCTTGTTCTGGACTGAGAAAACAGTAGTTTCACATGAACCTAATGAGCTATTGCATTAGCATTAGTACCCAGATATTCACTAAACAAATAAACGCTGAGTATTTTTGCTGCAGTTTGATTCCTTCAGAAAATATACTCTTTTTTTGCAGCTTCATTTCCAATCTCCCCACATGGATCTCTTTTATACTATTACAAAAAACTCTTCCAAAAAGTGCAGGCATTTTTCATCCAACAACTTAAGAGAGTACAGAAGTTGTACATTGATAAAAACTTAAAATTACAACCATACATAATATATTTTGAAATAGAAGAAGGAATAAATAGCTGGTGCAGTGAGTCAAATCTTAGAAACCTTAGTTCTAACCCTGAACTCATATGTATGAGTTAAACATTTCTCCTGACGTTTCAGACTAGAACATTAAGCACTCACTTTTCTCGTTATACTTACTGTCTATGTGAGCCAGCTTCAATACCTTTGCGCCACCTTTATCTAATGTATTTTAATTATTACTAAGAGTCAGACCTCAATAAAATTTCATTTCCATGTCTAACCATCTTAATGTGGTGACTTGACAAATGCTTATCTTGACAGCCATTTATAATTTCTTGCTCTAAAATGATACTGATATTTCCTTCTCATTGTTTGCACTTTTGAAGATATATAGATGATTATTGAATTCTCACTAAATAAATTAGACTCCAAGATGTTTCTTATTTTAAAAAATAATACTTAACCAAATTTCAGAATAAAGAATAAATCAATGGAAATTCAATTCAATACACATTTATTGAGCATTTCTTGTGCTGGTTACTCTCCTAAATGCTGGAAGTAAATATGAAAAAGAAATATTTTTGATGAAAAACCTTGCCTTCATAGAGCTTCACTATAAAGGATACTTCTGAAATATCAGTTTAAGTTCCTTTAAAGAAATGTTGAGTCAGATGATTTATTAACTCATTTCCTATGCTTAAACACCTTAAGTGTACTTTACCTTTGAAATATCTATACTTTAAAAATCTGGCCTTATGTTTTGATACTCAGTACTCCTATAGATCGAATATCATGGTGTGAAATATTTATTGTTTAAAATAACTATACTTTTGTTTTCCTCATTTTATTTTGTTCTAGACTATTTAATTCTGGGTAATTGAGAATTTCTGGACAAAGCAAATAAATCCTTTCAAAGTTAAGCAAATATAGTTACCCTCAGCTGTTGAAGGTTGTTACAGAATAAGTTAAATGTACTAAACTTTATTTTTCTTCTCCTCTATGAAATAGTCTTGATTAACTAATTTAGTAATCAACTTTCTAACATTCAAAATTATTTTCTACTGAAGCAAAATCATTTTGCAAGTCAAATACAACGCATTTAACTTTTGCATTTGAAGGACTGTTTATTACTTAGTAAATTTTTGCATCATTCACATATAGAAGGTAAGTACTCAAATTCTTTTAGCCATAAAGCCTGAAATTTAGTATCTTAAAAGTAGGCATATATTTGGGATTTTTAAATGTTCAATCTTATGCTCACTGGATTAAAAAGTGTAAGATAGTCAGTAATTAAAATTTAATAAAGAAGTAGTAATAGACGATCTCAGTATGGTAAAATAACACTAGCAATAATTAGAACAACTCAAACTTGTATATACTATATGATTCACAAAATATAGTCACATATTTTAGGTGATCATACTTTATAACTACGAATGAATGGGTGTATTTACAAATCAATTTAAGCCCTCTTACAGATGAAAGTAATTTTAATAGAATACCAAATACTTCCTAATTTGAAAAAAATGGGAATTGTTTAAAACTAAATTCATAAGTCCTGAAATCACTTTCATGTTTGAGTAACACCAAATGTTGAAATAAATTTATCGTCCTGGTAAATTTAAAGGACTACTTAACATGATAATTTGTTTCCTAAAACAATGTCTCAGGACCCACAATAACAAAGATGAAAATTGAAGGTGAACCTAAATTCAGACTGATTAACGAAGGTGAAACAGTAACTGAAATAATCCATGGAGGTGCGTTATGTATGTTTCCTAGTGCCTAGTTGGGATTTCTATGATTATTTTAATCACAGGAATTGGTTTAAATATATTGAACATCTGATGATTCCTCTTGGTTTTTGTTTTATGTAAATCATGGGAATACTTTTCTCAGTTATGGGTTCTTATTAATCTGTCAAATAAAATATAAATGCCCTTTAATTGATCTAGTTGGAATTAATTTAACCATTAAGCCACCAGGTTCAACAAAACTGTCATTATTTCTCTATATGCAGTGATGATTGTGAAATATAATGATGACAATAATTTCAACAAAAGGACATATTGGACTTAGAAGAAAAAATCCCATTGTATTAGACTGACTAGTAAGCCACTGTTAAGATTGCCATAGAGTTCTCATTCTAATAATGTAGAACTCTCTGGATTCTCACTAAATACTCATTCCACAGTCAGGAAACAAATATGACATGGAGAGTTAGCTTACTAGATGGCCTTTGCCCTTACCCAAGATTCAGGACACAATTATGAGTTTTCAGACATCTGTTGATCTGAATTTATTTGAGTTGTGTTCCCAAAATTATTGTAGTGGAATCTTGATTCTCAAACTTAATTCATTCCAGAAGGCTGTTCGAGAAGCAATTTGTTCAAAAACAGAATCATTTTTACTGATTAGAAAGAATTAAATTGAATTAATTCATTCTAGACTCCCAAATAATTCCCTGTTGTATCCTTTCTTATATAGAGTACATGTCTAATGTACTATTTATTCTATAAATAAACACTTTTTTCCTTAAATTTATCAAACCACCCCCTACTAGCCTTAAAGGAACCACTTTCAGCACTCATTCCAGGGGTGTCTTTCAGGTCAGTATACAGCATCTTCCCTTTTCCACAAATCATTGCCTCTGAAATGCTAGCACCAGCTAACTGCTTTTTCTTTATACAAATCAACAAAAATATTTCTATCTCTTCAATTGCCTGAGATCATTGTTTCATGAGCACTTTCACACCTTTAGCAACACTTGATGGCCTCTTTATATTTTAAAATTGTGCTAATTGTCCATCTAGCCAGCAACAAAACAACAACAAAAATATTCCCAGCAAATTTCCTGAGATGTTAACAACAGGAGGTTTTGTGGTAAACTGACTCATACTCTCACAGTCTCTCATTTGTTTGTAACTTGAGAGATGTTGTTTGTTTGTTTTTAATATATTTTTATTGATTTCAGAGAGGAAGAGAGAGGGAGAGAAAGAAAGATAGAAACATCAATGATGAGAGAGAATCATTGATCAGCTGCCTCCTGCAGGCCCCACACTGGGGATCAAGCTGCATCTTAGGCATATGGCCTGACTGGGAATCAAACCGTGACCTCCCGGTCCATAGGTCGATGCTTAGCCACTGAACAACACTGGCTGGGCACTAAGAGACGCTTTTTGTCATGCTGATATATCAGCATTAAAGGTTTGTTAGGTCAAGAACTGAAGTTTTGTTCACAATCAAGACATTTTTCTGTGAATTTGGTCAAGAACCAAATTGTTCGAGATGGGAGTTGTCTGAGAACTGACTTTTGACTGTATAATTAAATTCCAAATGGTATTGTTTTGAGAAATACATTTACTCATTAAAATGTCTAGCTTTTGACACCATGAGGTGACGAATCAAATGCATTTTTCTACCCCTAATTTCAGAGCCAATTATTAAAAAATACACCAAAATCATTGATGGAGCGCCTGTGGAAATAACTGAAAAAGAGACAAGGGAAGAACGAATCATTACAGGTAATCTTTAATTCCATAGATGTAACTGTTCCTTGGATTATAAAAATCAAACTACAGTTAATCCTAAAATATCTCTATAAGAATTATTATATCCTGAAAACAACAATCATAAAGAATATATGCACCCCCTATGTTCACAGAAGCATTATTTACAACAGCTAAGATTTGGAATCAGCCCAAGTGACATTTAGTAGATTAATGGGTAAAAAAGTTTGGGACATTTACACAATGGAATACTATGCAGCAGTAGAAAAGAGGGATCTCTTATCCTTTGGGACAGCATGGAGGGACCAGGATAGAATTATATTAAGCAAAATAAGCCAAACAGAGAAAGACAAATATTACACAATCTCACTTATTTGTAGAATCTAATGAACAAAATAAATTGACCAATATAAGACCTGAAGCATAGAGGCATGGAACAGACTGACATACCTTGGTGTGGGGATTAGGGACATGAGAAGAGATAAACCAAAGAACTTATATATACTTACATGAATAGCTCATTGACAGGGGCAATAGGGGGGTGAAGACCTGGAGGGATGGGTAGAGGCTGGGAGGAGAGAGGTAAATGGGGGGAAAGTGGAAGACATCTGTAATACTATCAATAATAAAAATATATATTAAAAATATTATTAGAGAAACTGTCATTTTCATGGTGGTTATTGAAGTAACTATTTTTTGGCAGATATAATATTATTCTAAATGTATAATCTATGTTTTCTCTGAGTTGGAAATTTGTAGACAAATCTATAAGAATTTGTTTTTATTATGTGCTTCATACACATTATATAATGTATTAGTATATCCTAGAACCAAAACCATTCCCTCTTTTGGTTTTCCAATAATCTTAAGATCTACACATATACATATCAGAATATATGCAAGTATGTATAAAACAATTAATAATTTCAGTAAACCTCTGTATCAGTCTCCCACCAATAAATTAGCTTAAAATTCTGAATACAACTATTCTATAAGTATTTGTTTAAATGAGTGATTAGCAACTATGGCCCATGCCGCCTACTCATGTAACAAAGTTTTATTGGAATGCCGTGTTAATTCATTTATATAATGTCCATGAATATTTTCACACTGTAGCTACTAAGTTGAATAGTTGCAACACAGGCCATATCACCTACAAAGTTTAAAATGTTTACTATCTGGCCCTTTACAAAGGAAGTTTATCTACCCCTACATTATTCCTATTTTTTTATTGTCTTTCCTTTAGGTCCTGAAATAAAATATACTAGGATTACTACTGGTGGTAGAGAAACAGAAGAAACTCTGAAGAAATTGTTGCAAGAAGGTCAGCATACTAAAAAAAATAACAATATGACTTTACCTAAGCTGTCTGTAAAGACTAATCTTTGAGAGGCTTTATATGTGTTTTTTATTTTATTTTATATCATTTCTTTGTTTAAGTTCTATACCAACGTAAGAGAAAAAAATTCAAATATATAGAATGAAGCTTAAATTACAGTCACATTGGTTGTTATGTTACATATTTGAATATATTGTTCAACAGATTTATAAGGAAACAGGTTTATTAAAAAACAGCACTAAAATCTGAGAAAGAACCAAGTGTTGGTCTGGAATTCATTGTTGGGCAGATGTGTTTATACCAGGTCTCCTGTCTTCTTGCTACATAAACCAATTTCTGTTATAAACATGTACCCTCTCAGAGGTCACCAAGGTCACCAAACTCATTGAAGATGGTGATGATCATTTACTTGAAGATGAAGAAATTAAAAGACTCCTTCAGGGAGGTTAGTAAAAAAGAAACAACTAACCCGTTAACAGGTGTGTTGACTGAATTCTTCAACTTTTTAAAGACTGAGCGTTCACAATTTTTTTTAAAGATGGGATCATGTGTTATCTTAACAGACTGACTTGTTCAATGGTAGTTTAATTAATATCTATAAATTATAACTACTTTAAGCAGTCTTTAAAAAGTATGGTATAAAGCTTGAGGAGCACTGAATATCTTTTTGCTTTGATACACATAATTATAAGGGTTTTTTAAGTATATGAAAAGGGGAAAGTTTTAAAATTGGTAGTTATTTGAACAAACCCAACTTGACATATATTTTATATTTTAAAAAATGTATTCACTGCTCCCACAACAATAATACAAGGCGTGTTTATGGAATCTTTAAGCTCATAGATCTAGAAAAAAAAAAACAATGCATTTAATAATTTTCTTTCCTAAAACTACATTCTTGGGAATGTGTATCTGTTTCTTCTAACAGTCTGTGTGATAATCTATACCTGGGAATGCAAATTATTTTGCATATAATATTAATCTTAATCTTTAAAGTATGGAATGTTCTGTCTGTGGCATTAAAAGGACCTACTTATAAAGGCAAAAGAGAAAAATAAGAATTCAGAATCTTGTGCAAACTCTGAATAGTAATTATTTGAAGAAATAGCAATGCCATAAATATAATGCAGATAATTTTTATTTGAATAAATTAATTTCCAGTTTATTTCATTAAAGATAAAATGTTGACAGGTTGTTTTAGAGAAACAAGTAATTAAAATATTATAGAAATATCAAATATTCTCTTTGAAATATACTATGAATTGAGAACATTTGAGAATGCTTAGCCAAAGTATGGTCCAGATGGTTTTTCCTGTTTAAATTTTTAAAAATTGTATCACTCTACCCAAGAAAATATAAATTATCTTGGGACCATGTATAATGATTGCTTTTTTATTCCTTATTTTAATACAGGTAAAAATCTCTTATATAATGTTAAAACTGTTCAGCAATAGTAAAAATAAATATTTTTATTCAAACAATAATTGAATTTCCCCTCAATAGAAAGATATGTATCTAAAATATGTAAGATTTCCTTTCAGACAGCAGAGGATATGTGACACAGCCAAAGCTCTAAAGAAATCAAAGGTTTCTGTAAGATCTAATACAGAATTCACTCATCCACCTCCAAAATCTTAATAATCTGCAAAGAAAATATATTCATTTGAGTGAAGAGGCAAAGACATTTTGAAGATTAAATTAAATTCTTTTTTTTTATTTTTTAGTCCTTGCCACACTAAATAGCATTGTAGAATGACAGTATTTCCTTTTTTTTAAATGTATCTTTAGAGAATGAATCAGTAGCTGTACCTGTGTATATTGCTTTGATTTATTTAAACTTAAACTTTATGTTAGTCTGTTTTCTTTTCTTTAATAAAGTCCCATTAACAAGTCTATTATAAACAATTAATTACATTCTCAAGAATAGCTTTACTCAAGAAAAGAAGATAACCTGCTGCAAGACAATAATATTCTATTTTTAGTTAATAGACTCTTCCTTAACTCCTGTTTCTGTTAATTCCAGAGGTTGATTCCTTTAGTTTCCACTACATGGTTTCTCTACATACCTATGAAGCATCAGTTTCCACTATTCCACACCATAAATTTTTATTAAAACATTTCCAAGGTTTTTATTTTTATTAGTATAATCAGTATAGTTATTAGTACAAATCTGAATATTGGTTAGATATGCTAGTTATTTTTCCATTCCTGTAAAATCATTTGGTCATCTCTGAATCACAAGAATCCTCTTACCTAGAACTTAAGAGACACTGACTTATAAAGAAGCTGGTATTAATAACAATTAGGTCATGCCCAGCCAGTGTAGCTCATTGGTTGAGCACTGACCTATGAATCAGGAGATCACAGTTCGACTTCTGGTCAGAGCACATGCCTGGGTTTGGGGCTCAATCTCCAGTAGGGAGCATGCAGGAGGTAGCCGATCAATGATTTTTTTTCATCATGGATGTTTCTATCTCTCTCTCCCTCTCCCTTCCTCTCTGAAATTAAAAGAAAAAAATAGGTCATGCAAGACTGGCTTTTTTCCTTTGAGAATCCCGAGATAATTGGTCTATATCCAAACTCTGGTCCTTATCTCTAAGCTTAGAGTTTTCTATTTGAATTGTTCATATTGTGGTACATTTTGATGAATTGGGTATCAATCACTGAAGTCATGACTAAGTGGTCCCCTTGGGTACTAATATTATGATTTTTCACTAAAATACATTAGATTCCTTAACTAAAAAAAAATGTTCTCACAAAATGCATAAAGTTTTTCATTCTTATCTTAGGCAGAACTGCATTTACCAAAAGTACTAAAGTAATTAAGGAAGAATATCAAACTATGGAGAAAGGAACCAAAAAGGTCATGGAAGGTTTTGACAAATCTGACTATATAACCTGTAAAGATTTATGGCCTTTTTAGACAATAGGGAATCGGGTTGTAGATCTGACTTCCAATCTGGGCTCCAACTCTAACTTAAGTTAGCTGATTTATTTATTTTTTGTCTTGGTTCCTTCTTCTGAATAGTGGGGCTAGTAATGTTACCTACATCTAAATGAGTTAATATATGAAAAATGCTTGGAATAATGTTCAGCACATATGAGCTCCCAGTAATGCTAACTAGTATCAGTATTTTGGTCAATTAACATTAACCTGGTCAATATAGTAATATTTTACACCCTATTTTAAATTTCCAAAGTAATAGTCACATACAAATGCAAAAATCTCACAAATAATTGAACTGACATGCTTTGCATGTTTCACAAAACATGTGGTAGAGAAAGGGCCTTTGTTTGTACCATTTTGCTTCTCTAAACATGCCCTGTTACAACTCTCATTCAGTTTGAAATAGCAGAGTGCCCCAGGGAGGAACTCTGATTCTGTGCACTTCATTTACACTTTTTTCTAGATATGTTTGTTAGCCATGATGAACACTTATTTTGATATTGTCATACCAAAATAGTAATGAATTAGAAAATTAACTAACTGGATGTTCATCAATTGGATGCTATCAAGTGAATAGAAAAAAAAAATCCAACTGTCAGTGCTAATTTTGAAAAGAAATGTTGTGAATACTTCTCTGATCTTGTTATAAATTGTACAATAACCTATTTGGAATTTAACAAGTCCATTATAAAAATGGTCTTATTCACTATTCAAAGGTTGGATCACATTTTTTTCTTGACAATATTTATAAGATATATTTTGCTATCAAATACTTTTAAAGTTAAGAAATTTATCAATTGGAACATATTCTGTAAATCAGACTTTCCTATCTCACATAAACTTTACTCCACTATCCAATTTAAGGAAGTTTTCCACAGTTCTGTATTTTTATTATAACACTAATATGGTGTTAAATCATGTACATCATATATTCTGTGGAAAGGAAAGACATGTTGGAAATCTGCCACATAGAACTAAAATTTGTAAAAAGAAATGTAAAAAGTTTCTTTTTACTTGGTGTTATATAGCCAAAATTACTGTTGGTGACAGGTTCATGCCTTACCTTTTATGGAATACTAGAGGCCTGATGCATGAAATCCTTGCAAGGGTAGGCCCTTGAAACCATCCCAACGGCTGCTGCCTCAGCCCCCGCAGCCCCAGCTTCGTCTGGAAAGTCCTCCAGAAGGTCATTCTGCTGTTTGGCCATTCAGGCAATTTGTACATTATGCTTTTATTATTATATGTTAGAGACTTTATATATGCATGTATATTAGAAAAAGTTTGACTTAATTATCTAGTATAGATTATTTATAAAAATCAAGAAGTCAAAATTTGAAGAAAATATAAAGGTAAGCTGAAAAATGAAGTCACTGTAGGAACCTCTGTGATCTCAAATGATCAACAACAAAGTGAAAACGGGAAGTTAGGGATTAGGAAGATGGCCACTGGCAGGAAGGTAGGGAGGGAGAGTGTGAGAGCTCGAAGGAGCGATAGAGTGTGTGGACATGTGTGGTGTGTATGTGTATGAGCTAGGGACAATTAGACTCTGCAGGTCTTCCAAGGGGCTGCCAAACCAGGCAGTCTTAGGCGGCGGAGCCCCGCTCCCAGTGCAGACACTCCTGGGTGACCAGTGCGGGCACAGAGAACACACCATCTTAAGAAACAGAGCTACTTGAGACTAGGATCCTGGCCTCAGCACCACCCAGTCTGTTCTTAGATGCAAACTAGGACCCTGCAGCCACTGGGGACAGAGACCTGCGACCACAGCTACAGACCCACAGACACCAAGAATCCAGACATCCCTGCAGCAGATTTCTGTGAGTAACAGAGCCCATCCTCCTCCCAGCAGGCTTGCAGGCAGCACCATAGTAACTGACAGACCTGCCACTCACACAGCATGTGCAACTGCAGGAATTTAAGCCTGAGAGCTTGCAGAGACTGGGAACCTGTTCCCTGTTCCCCGCAGCACCTCTGCAGGAACTTGAGTCTAGGAGTGCTCAGACACTGGGAATTTGTTCCCCACAAGGCAATCAGGCAACCAAACCCAAAGCCCATGGAGGGCAGTAGTGCCGCCAGACTTTGATTCTGGGCAAGCGTTCACTGAAGTCCCCCAAGCTGACCAGGACCCCAATTCTCCAGGCTGGAGGCAGCACTAAGCACCAGTGACTTGACTCTGTTTCTTATCATGTGCGCCTGGGAGCCCTAATTACCAGTGCATTCACACGAAGAGCCAGCAACTCCAATTCTTGGTGCATGCGCACACAGGGACCCTGAATCTCAGCGCAAGGATGAGATATTGGATTCTTGGGGAAATCTGACTCCTGGCACATGCTAGGGGGCTCCGATTTTCAACACACTCCAGGAGGTTCTCTGTTTCAGTGTGGTGCAGGCAGGGTCCCTGATTGTAGGTGCGCACACAAGGCCACCTGAGTGCTGGTAACTCTGACTCTGGGTGAACCTGGTTCCACCAACCCACGACAGTCACACATCTTAGTGTC